AATACCCTGCGTCTAACCTCACTATTACTTACCCGGTGATCCCAGCAGATGCGAGCAATATTTCTAAGACATCTGTGGTCAAATACTAGTAACCTACGAGTATCTTCTACTCTTAATGGCCATGTTTCGCAGCCGTAAAGTAGAACAGAGCGAACTGATGCGCAGTATACTCGTCCCTTAGTTGATAGACTGACATCTCGTCTTCGCCATAGGTGACGTGAGTTGGCAAAAGCCAAACGAGCTTTTCGAATCCGTGTTGAGATTTCGTCAGACACCAACCCATTATGGCTGATCAGACTTCCAAGATAAGTGAAGTTGTCGACGCGTTCGACTACTTCACTCCCTATCCTTAGTTCAGGTGTTGACGCAGGCCAGTCCTGGAGTAAAAATTTACATTTAGAGGGGGAGAAACGCATCCCAAACATCCTGACATTATTACTGAGTTCCAACAGAAGACTCTGCATTTTGCCAGCGTCTTCATCAAAAAGGACTATGTCATCTGCGTATTCTAAGTCGCTTAGTGGTCCCCCTGGTAGGAGATCAATTCCTGTAAATTCAGTTGAAGAGAGTGTTATTTCCAGCTATAGGTCTATAATGAAGTTAAACAAAAATGGGGATAGTGGACAACCTTGTCGGACACCACTTGAGGTTCTAAAATCATATGACAGTTCGCCATAAGCTCTGACTCGACTGGTAGTGTTCGGGTAAAAAGCCTTCACAAGGTTTATGTACTTCTCAGGTACACCTTTCAATGACAGACACTGCCACAGAGCCTCTCGGTCTACAGAGTCAAATTCTGCTTTCAAGTCAAGAAAAACTATCATTGTCGGACGCCGATAAGCGTGTCTGTGCTCTAAAACTTGACGAATGGTGAATATGTGGTCGATACAACCACGACCAAGTCTGAATCCAACCTGATTTTCTCGTGTTTGCAGTTCACGAGTCTTAGTTAGGCGCCCGATAATTATTGAGGCTAGTATTTTAGATGCTATGTTAGTCCGACTAACCCCTCTATGGTTATCGCAGGATGATTTTGGTCCCTTATATATTGGGACAATAAGTGACTGTGACCAGTCGGATGGGATTACGTCCGTCTCCCAGATTTTAGCCAGAATATTAGTCAACCTAGTCGCTAAAATTGGGCCACCATATTTAAAGACCCCTGGAGCTAATCCATCAGGACCAGCTGCTCTTCCTCGTTTCAGATTACCTATAGCCTTTTGAACTTCAAGTAGGGTCGGGGGCCTACTTCAATGTTCCATTCAGGTTTTCTAGGAATAGTGGATAGTTGTGCAGTAGCTGAAGGCCAGCTAAACTGCTCCTTAAAGTGTTCCGCCCATCGTTCTAAACGTTTGGGTTGAGAGCAGATAAGGGTTCCGTCTTTTTCCGAAACTGTTTCGCTTACACTTGACTTCTTAATTCCGGTTTCTTTTATTAGTCTGAAGAATTGCCTACAGCCGCTGCCTTTTCCTCTTTTTTTCGTTGCCCACCACTGCTCACGACCGGTCCTTAAACTTTTAGTTAACCTAGGTCTAATTTGTTTACGCTTTTCGTCGTGTTCAGAGCCTGATGGATGAGTTTACGCGGATCCATCAGTGAAATAGACTTAGAAGAAATCCATTGGTTTTTCGGAGCCCTATGGTTTAAATGACTAATAGATGTTACTGCTGTTTCCACAGCTGTTCGTATGTCTTTCCAAGCAGCATCTGTGTCAGTCTTGTTTACAGAACTGCCTATAGATGTGAATTCAGTTTTTCCTGGAACTCATTTTTGGCTTTTTTTTTTGTCCTCCAGTTCAATCGTAATGGGTCTTCTTATTGTAGTTTCCTGCGTCCAGTGAGGCGCAGACAAATGCGTGCTCGTATCAAAGCGTGATCAGAGTCTAAACATGTATTCCAGTACGAGCGGCAATCTTCTATCTAGCCTCTCCAATGATGACTAATGGTAATATGGTCTTGAGATGGTGGAGAAGATTTGTAGCTCAGGTGGGTGATTTTTATGTTGGTTTGTTCTCTGAGCTGGATGGTTTGGTAGTGGAGCTTTCATCGTCCTTCTGAACGACATCATCAGCACAAACTTCGGGTAGAAGTGAAGTGTTTGAATTTATCCACATGTGATTCACAGCTTGTCCTCTGCACCTCGATGTTGATTGGTTCTTATTGACCTTAAATCTGTCATTGTTTATTTCTTTGTTTTGATTGTCTCTCCTATTGTTTTGATTTTTGTTCCTATGTTCCTGCATAATTTTCTTGATTGGTTGATAGATTGGGTTGATTTCAATATGTTTGTTTATTTCAGATTGACCTGAGTGCCAAGCTTCTAAAAATTCTCTGGTATTTTTGGAATTGCCTCTGTCCAAAATCTGCACATTTTCCCAGTCGAATGTATGTCCGTAGTTGTCCACGTGTATTGATATGAGTGAAGAAATGTCGTGGCGTTTGACTGCTAATTGGTGTTCATGTAGGCGAAGATGCAGGGGGCGTCCGCTTTGTCCAATATAGTGTTTGTTGCAGTTGGTACAATATGGTCTATTTGGTCTATTTGAGTCCATCGTTGGTTAGGTGCAGATGGTTGCCATGTTAGACTATGTCTCTCCTTATGCTTAAAACTAGTGCTTGCTAAAAAATAAACGATTGTCTGAGCATAATTGCAACAGACGATCACCATTATCTGTTCGTTGAGCTGGAATACTAAAATACCCACCTAAATGTCTTTCTGTTTGATTCAAGCTGCCTACCTGGGCATTAAAATCATGTGGTGAGTAGGATAAGCAATGTTCACACATATGCTAACAAAAACAGTCAAGGTTGGTAAGTGAATAATTAATAAGGTCATAATTTGACTCAAGAATGAATAGATTGATCTGTCTGAAATAACCCATGTGAGCATGACATGGTACTAGACAATACAATGTAAATACGTCTCAGCTGGCGTTTTTTTTTTCCAAAAGTTATAGATTTTTAAGTTTATCATATATAAAAAACAACTCCATACTTGACACGTATCATTTTCGGACACTTTTCAGTGTAGTACAGCAGGAACACAACGGTGTGCTAATTCGCACCTGGCGTTCACTTATTTAACCGGCTATCCATTTAATACCCATCATACCTCTATAAATTGTCTGTCAAAAGACCTGATTATTCTAAAATTAAAAAAAACAGCCTTGATAATATTAATTTTGTCAATATGTGTTGTACTGTAGTGATTATGACTGTAAAAATAGAGTATACCTGATCCCTCAGGATTTCGCTATTACTACTATAGGGTCAAATGCCACAACAGAAGCTAAGCTTAGTTTGTTTGTGGAAGGTATACAATTCATTACAAACAACTAACAATTCTTCTTCCTTAGAATGAACGTTGCCAATAATATACAAGTGAGAAAGATATTTAAAAGCTTTATACGACGAACATTAGGGTCCTTCTGTGTCCTGGATTATACAGAACGATGTAATTTACATTGGCTGAAACAAATAGTATGACAATATTTTTAAAACTGCATAATCTATCTCATTTGTCATTATTTCTGGAAAATATAACTGCTAACACAGTGATTTTACTGGATAGTCACTTTTGGCCTTGAAAATAAGACAGTTGCTCGATATATGGAGTCTCGAGACTATATGACCCAACTGAACGTTTCTGAGAAACAAGCAATTAGTGGGAATTTTACAACCATACTGCTTCCTTATTCTGCTACAGTGAATAAACAAGGACCAACGAAGAGCCAGAATTCAAGTGCGAAGCAAAGTGTATGCACCAACCAAAGGTGACTAGATACAAGAAAGCAAGTCCTAATACGTTATATAACGTAAGATATCTTACTCGACGGATACGATGTTTCTTCTATACAATCAAGCAGGTCATTAAAGAGGTATTCAGTTCTACGTATTGGTCTACTGACGAAACCCCCTATTTGCATTAGTTCTAGAAATCTCAACTTTACTTCCTGATTTAAATACAATGTCTCGATAATGGATTAGGTTCTGTATAAAAGTTGATTCAATGAACTGAAAATTATACACCTTTCGTAGCTTTCAAATTAGGGTAGGTCTGGATTCTTGTTGTGAACTCGTCAGGAATCATGTACAGATGTCCCTTTTGAAGAGTCTTATTTCACTAAATCATAAGACTAGACAAATGGAGTATTTAAGTAATCACCCATTCTGATTACCTCAGGACACGGAAACACTCCTCAAAATGAAGTGGCTGTCATAACCTAGTAAATAATATTTTAGTCGTTCAAAGTATTGAGACTGAGTGGCGTCGAGAACACTTATTATGATACGCAGACGTCCAGTTAAAGTTATCCAAACAAGAGATTTAACTTTCCGAGTTAACTACTAATTACCTTTACATGCAATTTCGATAATGTCTGACGAACGTAACCAACTTATAAATTAGCAAACGGAGTATACTACATTTTCCAAATGTCTAAGAACACAAAATAATAATGTAGACCTAGCTATGACTTTAAGTTAATTGCAAATTCACAGCACTTTTAAATGCTTATGCGACCGAGTTGTTTTTGAGGTCAACAACTATGGTGAAGTTCTTGTTTAGAAAATAAGTGAAAAGATATTAGTATCATTTTGATCAACTATCAGCATCCTGATAAATAGCAGACAATGTACATTGCAGAACCAAATGAATCTCAATAGTCAAATAAGATCACAGGATAGACAAACATCTTCTTCCACTGTGAAACATTTGGTTGAAACTGGTCATAAGGTTGACATCAAGTCAGCGTTTGTAGTGTTGTACAAAAGCCTTCAAGGACGTATACTAAGGTTTATTGAAGCATTGGCTATACGGAAATCGAAACCCCCTTTATGTGTTCAAAAACGTTTTGTTCTTACCCTTAATCTACCCTGGTAATGCTGATTTATTATCCAGAACAGGTCATCACATTGTTTTTGTGTACTTTATTTATTTATTTTCTTTGTTACGGCTTACCTTAACCTGTCTAGTTGACCTATAAGAATGTCTTAACAAGTATATATGTGATCGCATTGTTCGAAATGTATTGCGCAAATATATCACATAATTCTGATAAACTTCGTCTTCTCACTGCATTACCGAAATGTACAGTGCACCCTGATAAACTGACTAGTTCAAGATACCAACTGATACAGAAAACAAACTGACGGATAGCACTGGATTCATAGTAGTTTTAAAGTCAAACCTTGAATACACTAGAAAACGCACATATACTGCACAAAACTATATGCTACAATTTAAAGCAACACCTAGAGAAAGTAAACATATGAAAATAAAACCTTGAAAGAAAAGTTAACGTTGGCGAGAAAATACGCCTTACTTGAGTGAATACATATATGTAGCTTACACAAAATAATGTGGACAGGGTTTTGTGTAGAACTAAGACTCAAAAAGGAGAAATACTCCTCCATAAATAAAAGCATTCATTGCATGGCAGATTTAAACTGTTCAAAATGTGTACAGTTAACACGGACTACATAAGATTGAAGAAGTAATTACACATATTGTTTAACACAGCCAATTGCTTCCTTCTTTGTTCAGAAGGAAGTTTATTTACTCACCGAAATATGTGAAGTTGCCCATCGCATTAATAATCATATTATTTACTGTAAAAAGTGAGATGCTTCTAGCCAAGTGATATAAGTTAGTACTGTGAGTAACTGTATATGTGAACGGAGAAAGAAACAAAGAATCGAGTAGTTAACATTGATTCCACATTTTCCAAAATTCATGAATGAGAATAAAATGAATCATTTTTTGAATTCATAAACTTAAAAGAGTTAGACAATTAAAATATATACATACACAAAAGAACGAATCATATATAATTTATGTAGGTAAGGTTAGTAGTTTAATTTTAAAAAAACTGAAGTGGAAGCATGAGATTGGCAAAGAAAATAAAAAAGTCATAGATAACTTGACTGTAGTAAGTTGATGAAGACTAGGTTTGTAGTAGTAAATTGAGAACAATGAAGATTTGATTTGTTCAATTAACTGATAATGAGCAATTAGATTTATACTGATCATTGTTTAAAGCTCATCATCTTACAACACATCATAGGAGTAATTTGAAAATTGTTGACAGTGGAGTTTGGATGACATACTGTAGAGAGTAGACGCAAGGAATGGTAGGATAGAATTTGAAAGATACAGGTTGTATTTAGATTTGGTTTACAGAATGAGATTAGGCCAAGTACTTATAAACTCGACGATCATCTTCTAATCGAGCAAGAAATTCTCGTTCAATAAGCGATTCAATACGTTGTTTAATCATCACGGGGGTTGGTACAAAACGCGATTTTAATTGTTCGATAACTTCAACAACAAGTTGTCCATGACTTAAGGTTTTACGAGCTTTCATGACTCTCACAATTGTTGCTTCAATCACATAACGTCGATTTTCATCTACTTTTGTCCGCGTTTCCTGACGTTCTGGTTCGCTTTCTTTAACAGTGATACTTTGAACCTAAAGATAAAAATACGGGAAGTGTCGATAACAGATTAAATGAGTACACAGTTAAACGAGTTAGTAGCTAATTGTCCAGAAAATACATTAGTATATTTATTTCGAGTTGCTTTATCCTTAACTGTGGTAAGTTGGAGGCGGTAAATTAAATTTGTTAGAAGTTTCAATCATGGTCATGAGGAGTAGAGGGAGTGGGACATATTAAATCATTATGTGCTATCAGTTACGGTTATTAATATTAGGTCTGAATAAACTAATCCAAAAAAGATAGTTATATGGCTAGATAGCCTATTTTTAAAACTACTGAGAGGAAAAGAATGAGTGAAACACTATCGGGTTCATGTAACCTTAAAATTATTTCTTTACGTTGTCGAAAATTCAATATGTTAGGAGTTTGCACACAAACTTTGATGAAATCGATGATGAGACAGGAGAGTATTCTAATTAAAAAAAACTAGAAAATAGAGGAAAACACAACGTACAATGGATCCACAACTGGAAGCGGAGAAGGTAAACGAATAGAAACAGAGCATTATGTGATATTTAATGTGAGAGTTATCAACACTAATCTAGGGGAATTTATCACTTTGATCTGCAAGACAAAAAAGCAGGTTTTCGAAAATGTAATATCTTATTCAAAAATGAATTCACCATGGACAAAGCAGCTTAAAAACACCATTTTAAGTTAAATTGTTAGACTAAGTAGTTGTATATTCCTAAGATGTTCTTTCATAATCATATCAAATAACAAATTTAGAGATTGTCGTCACCTGAGACAAACACTCTAATACTCAAAAGTTTTATTATCCAAGAAGTACGATGATACCTAATATCGGTTCATTGAGGGTAGTTAAAAAAAAAGTTCTAAATTCAATTTTTATTCCTTTTTACGACCAATCAATAATCCAATACATTTGTAATAAACTGGAAATGCAGGAATATTATTTAATGACAATATTGGACTACTATATTCTGGTAACAGATTACTAGAAAGTACCATTTCTGTTGAGAACGTAAAATTCAGAATAATCACATAATACATGTGTACAAATATCACGAAACTACATATCACAACAAATAAATATAATGTAAGAAAACCCCAATACACTAGTAATTATTGAATTAGTAATAATAAGTTTTTAAAAATAAACCATACAAATTATATATATATAACATAGTTTAGACATACCCGAACTTTAATATGTTTCGAAACAAATAAATCATTGACATAGAATACATCTGTTGACTCTATATCACGTGTTTTAGGTTCTTTGCATAAAATTCGTTGACTACAACGACCTAATGCTAAAGCCATAAGACTACGTTTTAATTCACGTTCAGGAATATTTGTTTCACTGGCTAATTCAATAAAACTATAACGATTACGTCGATTGAATTTCATTAATATAATCATTTGATATGTGGAGACCTAAGAATTGAGAAGAATAAAAAGGCATATTATATGAAGTAAACATTAATAAATCCATGTAAACATAAACATAGCACATACAAGTATTATAATAATGATTTCTATGACTGCTGATACATATTATATGAGTTCTATTTTCTTAAAAAAACTGGAATAACAAACAATTGATTTAAAAAAGAAACATATCAAAGAGTATAAGTATGTTAGTTCCCAAGAATTTTGCTTGATTGATTTCAGAAGTGGATGATCTCTAACAGGAAAAAGATAACTGCCCTCATACCTCTAACAGCACTCAAGATCACTGTATTCATAATCAATCTCCTTCTTCAATTCCTAATATCCCTTCTACCTCAACTTTCAACATTAAACTTTCTCTTTCGGTTTCCTTCTCAAGTGTCACCATGACCAACGATTCTAGTGCGCGAAACGCTGTCCCAGGTCTACTAAAACCTCGCTCCAAACTACACATTGGAGCCTTCAACGTGCGTACCCTATGTCAAATCGGTCAACAGGCCTCCTTGGCTAAGACCCTAGAATCTCGTACCATTGGCGTATGCTGTTTTTCCGAAACATGCATACAGGATCCTAGTGTGGTCATTCATTTGACCTCACCTAGCCAAAATGGACAGCCAACGAAATACACTATTCGTGTATCTGGCGACCCTCTGACTAGTTCTCATGGACTTGCAGGTGTAGGCATAGCACTCAGTACCTGGGCAGAACAAGTACTATTAGAATGGATCCCCGTTAACAGTCGCCTGTATGCTGTCCGGCTAAATGGCTCCGTATGAACTCGGAAGGATAGGGACACACGTCTTTACCATTTCGTCGTTTCTGCCTACGCTGCCACTGACTGCAGCCATGATGAAGTGAAAGATGAATTTTACAGAAAGCTTTCCAAACTCCTTTAAAAAGCTAAACGCTCAGACATAGTGCTCGTAGCAGGTGACTTTAATGCCCATATAAGTAGCTTAAACCAAACAGAAAGACATTTAGGTGGGTATTTTAGTATTCCAGCTCAACGAACAGATAATGGTGATCGTCTGTTGCAATTATGCTCAGACAATCGTTTATTTTTTAGCAAGCACTAGTTTTAAGCATAAGGAGAGACATAGTCTAACATGGCAACCATCTGCACCTAACCAACGATGGACTCAAATAGACCATATTACCATTAGTCATCATTGGAGAGGCTAGATAGAAGATTGCCGCTCGTACTGGAATACATGTTTAGACTCTGATCACGCTTTGATACGAGCACGCATTTGTCTGCGCCTCACTGGACGCAGGAAACTACAATAAGAAGACCCATTACGATTGAACTGGAGGACAAAAAAAAAAGCCAAAAATGAGTTCCAGGAAAAACTGAATTCACATCTATAGGCAGTTCTGTAAACAAGACTGACACAGATGCTGCTTGGAAAGACATACGAACAGCTGTGGAAACAGCAGTAACATCTATTAGTCATTTAAACCATAGGGCTCCGAAAAACCAATGGATTTCTTCTAAGTCTATTTCACTGATGGATCCGCGTAAACTCATCCATCAGGCTCTGAACACGACGAAAAGCGTAAACAAATTAGACCTAGGTTAACTAAAAGTTTAAGGACCGGTCGTGAGCAGTGGTGGGCAACGAAAAAAAGAGGAAAAGGCAGCGGCTGTAGGCAATTCTTCAGACTAATAAAAGAAACCGGAATTAAGAAGTCAAGTGTAAGCGAAACAGTTTCGGAAAAAGACGGAACCCTTATCTGCTCTCAACCCAAACGTTTAGAACGATGGGCGGAACACTTTAAGGAGCAGTTTAGCTGGCCTTCAGCTACTGCACAACTATCCACTATTCCTAGAAAACCTGAATGGAACATTGAAGTAGGCCCCCGACCCTACTTGAAGTTCAAAAGGCTATAGGTAATCTGAAACGAGGAAGAGCAGCTGGTCCTGATGGATTAGCTCCAGGGGTCTTTAAATATGGTGGCCCAATTTTAGCGACTAGGTTGACTAATATTCTGGCTAAAATCTGGGAGACGGACGTAATCCCATCCGACTGGTCACAGTCACTTATTGTCCCAATATATAAGGGACCAAAATCATCCTGCGATAACCATAGAGGGGTTAGTCGGACTAACATAGCATCTAAAATACTAGCCTCAATAATTATCGGGCGCCTAACTAAGACTCGTGAACTGCAAACACGAGAAAATCAGGTTGGATTCAGACTTGGTCGTGGTTGTATCGACCACATATTCACCATTCGTCAAGTTTTAGAGCACAGACACGCTTATCGGCGTCCGACAATGATAGTTTTTCTTGACTTGAAAGCAGAATTTGACTCTGTAGACCGAGAGGCTCTGTGGCAGTGTCTGTCATTGAAAGGTGTACCTGAGAAGTACATAAACCTTGTGAAGGCTTTTTACCCGAACACTACCAGTCGAGTCAGAGCTTATGGCGAACTGTCATATGATTTTAGAACCTCAAGTGGTGTCCGACAAGGTTGTCCACTATCCCCATTTTTGTCTAACTTCATTATAGACCTATAGCTGGAAATAACACTCTCTTCAACTGAATTTACAGGAATTGATCTCCTACCAGGGGGACCACTAAGCGACTTAGAATACGCAGATGACATAGTCCTTTTTGATGAAGACGCTGGCAAAATGCAGAGTCTTCTGTTGGAACTCAGTAATAATGTCAGGATGTTTGGGATGCGTTTCTCCCCCTCTAAATGTAAATTTTTACTCCAGGACTGGCCTGCGTCAACACCTGAACTAAGGATAGGGAGTGAAGTAGTCGAACGCGTCGACAACTTCACTTATCTTGGAAGTCTGATCAGCCATAATGGGTTGGTGTCTGACGAAATCTCAACACGGATTCGAAAAGCTCGTTTGGCTTTTGCCAACTCACGTCACCTATGGCGAAGACGAGATGTCAGTCTATCAACTAAGGGACGAGTATACTGCGCATCAGTTCGCTCTGTTCTACTTTACGGCTGCGAAACATGGCCATTAAGAGTAGAAGATACTCGTAGGTTACTAGTATTTGACCACAGATGTCTTAGAAATATTGCTCGCATCTGCTGGGATCACCGGGTAAGTAATAGTGAGGTTAGACGCAGGGTATTAGGGAACGATGGTAAATCAGTTGATGAGGTGATTAATCTTCATCGACTGAGATGGTTGGGCCATGTGTTACGTATGCCTGAACACTGATTACCACGACGCGCTATGATGACTAGTACTGGGGATTGTCGGAAGAGAGTTAGGGGCGGCCAAACCAAAACATGGCATCAGTGTTTGAAGTCACTACCTTGTAGTCTGAGCCATATTGGCAGATGCAGACTACCTGGTTGGGGTCCGCGTGACTATCGTAACCAGTGGTTGGAGACTCTGTGTGACATGGCTCAGAATCGATCACAATGGCGTAGGTGTATACACTCTTTATCTTCCTTTAAACCTTGAGACTAAAATTGCTTCATATCTGTCTTTCTTCCTGTACTATATCCTTATATACAATCTTTTTTGTATATTACTTACTTACTTTCGCCTGTTACTCCCAATGGAGCATAGGCCGCCGACCAGCTTTCTCCAACCCACTCTGTCCTGGGCCTTCTTTTCTAGTTCTTTCCAGTTCTTGTTCATTCTTCTCATGTCTGTCTCTATTTCTCGGCGTAATGTGTTCTTTGGTCTTCCTCTTCTCCTTCGACCTTCAGGATTCCATGTGAGGGCTTGTCTTGTGACACAATTGGGTGATTTCCTCAAAGTGTGCCCAATCCACTTCCAGCGCTTCTTCCTGATTTCTTCCTCCGCTGGAATCTGGTTTGTTCTCTCCCACAGTAACTTGTTGCTGATAGTGTCTGGCCATCGGATACGAAGTATCTTGCGTAGACAGCTGTTAATAAACACTTGTATCTTCTGGATAATGGCTTTCGTAGTTCTCCACGTCTCTGCCCCATACAGAAGAACTGTCTTGACATTTGTATTGAAAATTCTAACCTTGGTGTTGGTTGACAATTGTTTTGAGCTCCAGATGTTTTTCAGCTGTAGGTATGCTGCTCTTGCTTTGCCGATCCTCGCCCTCACATCTGCATCTGATCCACCGTGTTCATCAATGATGCTGCCCAGATATGTAAAAGTTTTCACATCCTCTAAAGCTTCTCCGTCAAGTGTAATTGGATTGGTGCATATTGTATTGTATCGGAGAGTCTTGCTTTTCCCTTTGTTTATATTGAGACCTACTGCTGCTGAGGCTGCTGCTACACTGGTCGTTTTCTCCTGCATTTGTTGTTGCGTTTGTGATAGAAGAGCCAGATCATCCGCGAAGTCTAAATCGTCAAGCTGCATTCTGCCTGTCCACTGTATCCCGTGCATTCCTCCAGATGTTGACGTCTTCATAATCCAGTCGATCACCAGGAGAAAGAGAAAGGGTGAGAGTAGGCAACCTTGCCTAACACCGGTCTTTACCTCGAACGAGTCGGTGAGTTGTCCTCCGTGGACGATTTGGCAGTTTAGTCCATCATAGGAGTTCCGTATGATATTTACTATCTTCTCAGGCACACCGTAGTGTCGAAGAAGCTTCCACAGTGTCGTCCTGTCCACGCTATCAAATGCCTTCTCGTAGTCGATGAAGTTGATGTACAGTGATGAATTCCATTCGATTGATTGTTCCACAATGATACGTAGAGTTGCGATTTGATCTGTGCACGATCTATCCTTACGAAATCCAGCTTGTTGATCTCGAAGTTGAGCGTCCACGGAATCCTTTAACAATACTCTGTTGAAGACTTTTCCTGGTATTGAGAGGAGAGTGATGCCTCTGTAGTTGTCGCACTTGCTCAGATCGCCTTTCTTCGGTATCTTGATGAGAAGTCCTTCTTTTCAGTCTGTTGGTACATGTTCTTCGTCCCAAATCTTACCGAAGAGGATGTGGAGTATCTTGGCAGTTGCTGTTACATTTGCTTTCAGTGCCTCTGCCGGGATGTTGTCTGGTCCCGCTGCTTTGCCACTCTTGATTTGTCTAATGGCCATGCTGATCTCTTCAATTGTTGGTGGGCCAATATCGATTGGGAGGTCTGTGGGTGCTGCTTCGATGTTGGGTGGGTTCAGTGGAGCTGGTCGATTCAAGAGTTCTTTGAAGTGTTCTACCCACCTGTTTCGTTGTTCTTCAATATCGTTGATTACTTTGCCTTCCTTGTTTTTCACTGGTCTTTCTGGTTTACGGTAATTTCCAGCAAGTTTCTTTGTTGTATCATACAGTTGTCTCATGTTTCCCTCTCTTGCAGCCTTTTCCGCTGTCATCGCTAAATCTTCCACATATTTACGTTTGTCGGTCCTGATGCTCCTCTTCACTTGCTTGTTTGCCTCTGTGTATTCGGCTTGTGCCTTGGCTTTTTCTGCTCTTGTTCGGCTGATATTGATTGCTACCTTCTTGTTCCTCCTTGCTTCAATTTTATCCAGTGTACCAACAGTGATCCATTCCTTGTGATGGTGCTTCTTTTGGCCCAGAACCTCCTGACATGTTGAAACGATTGCCTCCTTGATACCTTTCCAGCTGCTCTCTATGGTGGTTCCCTCTTCATCGAGTAGGTTATGAAAGGCCTGGAACCTGTTGCTGAGGGCTATGTTAAATTCGTTGAGTTTGTCAGCATCTCGAAGAAAGGCCGTGTTAAACTTTTGTAATGTTGTCCGCGCCATTGTCCAGTGCTTCTTGAGTTTTAGTTTCATCTTGGCGACCAGCAAATGGTGATCGGATGCTATATCAGCTCCTCTCCTGGTTCTCACATCCTCCATCGTCCTCCTGAACTTTTTGTTGATGCAGACATGGTCGATTTGATTCTGTGTAGTGTGATCCGGTGAAATCCAAGTGGCTTTGTGTATGTTTTTGTGTGGGAATATGGTGCCACCTATGACCAGTTTATTGAAGGCACATAGGTTTGCAAATCTCTCACCGTTTTCGTTCCTTCCTCCCAGTCCATGTTGTCCCATGACGTCTTCGTATCCAGTGTTGTCCTTTCCAACCTTGGCATTGAAATCTCCCATTAGAATGGTCAGGTCCTTGGTTGGGCACTTCTCGAAGATTGACTGCAGCCTATCGTAGAATTGGTTTTTAGCGTCTTCATCGTAGTCGTTGGTCGGCGCATAGCATTGGATGATGTTCATTGTAATGCCCTCTCTCTTTGTTCTGAAGGAGGCTTTGATGATCCTCGGTCCATGAGATTCCCATCCTATAAGTGCATTTTGTGCTTTTCTAGACAGCATCAGTGCCACTCCTTGTGTATGTGGGACATTTTCTTCTTCATGACCGGAGTATAACAGAAGTTCTCCTGAAGACAGTCGTTGTTGTCCAACCTGCGTCCAATGTGTTTCACTGATTCCAAGCACTTCCAGGTTGTATTTCCTCATTTTCGCAGCAATTTGGAAGACTCTTCCGGTCTCCCACATTGTTCGGACATTCCATGTACCTATAAAAATTGTCGCTCTGGTTGTAAGAAGGTGCATCGGCCTCATGACTTCCGAAGGAACTCGAGTTTCATCATGAGACGTCATTTTTCCTTCTACTCCCAGGGCAGAGTTTGAATGAATTTTTCTGGTTAGCGTTTTTTTAGCGAGTTGATTTTCTACGGGATGGGGTCGCTAACCCCATGCCCAACCCTCCTCCTTTACCCGGGCTTGGGACCGGCAGTAGCCCCTGGAGGAGCTACAGGCGGAGTTTTTTTTTTGTATATTACCACCACTAAATTAACGACTTCTATGAATCTGGTGTTCATCTTGTTGTGCTAACGAGGTATGGCAACTTGGACCGATGCAAATATGTGCCTGGCCCTACGTTGTAGCTGACTGACTTATGTCGCAGTACTGATATGGTGTTGCAAATCGAACTAATGGAAATATGTGCCAGGTTCTAAGTTGACTGAGAACTAACTAAAAAAGTGGAAATGATCCAATGAACTTTGATATACACAGTAGTAAAATACTGTTCTTCCCAGTACAAAAGGGTATGCTGCATGGTCTGATAACTGAATAGATACATGCGTAATTATTTTAACAATTTAAAATATTTTTTTGAAGCTTTTAAGAATTTTAACAATAAAACACACACAATGTGATCAGAATTTTTGGAATTATGACAATATTGACTAGTGTTAAAGAATAGCAAGTATGAAGAATCCAAACGAATTTCGACTTATAAAGTAAATAAGAATCGATCAATTAACCCTACTCTGCAAATAAGAGAGAAATATTTCACGTGAATATCAGAAAGTTTATTACAACTAGATTCATGTTTTTTCCATGGAATAACTAATTAATATCAATAATTCACTTTTTCAATAGTAATGTTACAATAACGTAAGAACAAAGCTAACAGGATACAATGAAGCTTTTTGTATGATGTGAAGGGATGGTCTTTATTTTTCTTTAGAAAAAGATTCAGCATTTTTAGATTCTCTCCCAATATTACCTTCTACTTTGATTAGCAAATCCTGTATGAAACTTGTCAATTTCACTTTTAAGTGCATCTGAAATATCTATTGTACAGTATGGGATCATAATAATACACTGATTAAGGATTTTATTCATAAATAAATATACCTTTTTAAATACCAAGGTACATAATTTATTATATAGGGTTATATATGTGATATCATGTGGTATAAACACATGGTATTAATTAATAAAAAAAACTCGGATTAAATACAGAGAGCGTTTTTAAGAGCATTACTGTTATCAGCTAGAAAAACAGTAGGATTAAAGGGGATAAAATGGATTCTAGAAACATATGAAATAGAAATTATGATAATAGGAGCAAGGTGATGAAATGTTTAAATGTAAGTTCTGTGGTTGAATATTTATCAGAAAAGGGCAACATGAATGTAGCTGAGCAAGAAAGCTGAGTGATTCAATAGCAACTGATTTATTATCCGGTAGACAGTTGATATTTAGATGTTATCTGATTTGACTTATCATAATCAAAGTATTTTTACGTATTTAAGGAGACCTTGCTATTGGACAGTGTGTAATATAATGTACTATAATCAGTTTTCATTAGTACAGACTTTTTGGTTCTTCATCTTTATGGTACTGTTATAATTAAAATGTATTTAAAAAATTATTTTCAAATGAAGGATATCATTCTTATTATTGTCTATGAAGTCTCAAGTATTATTCTAATGTTGAAGTTTCGCAATAACACTTTGAATCATGGTTGACGTCTTAATCTTAATCAGCAGGAAAATAAATACTAGGAGTTAAATAAATTGTCACTTAAAATTTCTACACCCAGAATCCTATTTTATTTGGTTTGAAAACTTAACTAATTTCAAGTGCTAATTGAAATAATACGATGAGTTATATGGCGGGACTATAATTTATGGACGAACCAATCAGATTTAGGATAACAGATCTTGGATTTTGGTGCGAAATTCACCCATCTGACCAAATAGCGTTTTGGCATTTTAGCTGATGTCAGTTCATGATGAAAACTCTAAATCTAGTTTCTAACCCTAACCATCCACCGTAAATCATAACCCTTATTCTTCAGACTGTTTTATAACCCTCATTTAGCCCTAGTTAGTGGGTGGGTATGCTCAAGGTAACTTCAGCGTCGCTCAAAGGTCGTCCATAAATAATAGTCTCACCGTTGGTTGATCAAATAAAAAAAATAACTAGCTAACCATAAATCTACCATGTTCCAACGACACCAAAATACATACACTTAAGACCGTTACAGTAAAAACCTATGCAAAACTTAATGTTCAAAGGGTAAATAACTACATTATTTTGGTCAGTACTTATTTTGAGAGTAGAAGTTGTACGACGGTATTATTATTTAATTACATATTTGTGAAATTTCTTGAAGATATAGAAATATATTTACCTGTAAGAAATATTTCCGTACATTCGGTCGACTAGAGGTACTAATTAAGTTGGGAGGATCAAGTGTTTTTGGAGCTCCTGGGCTTCCTGGTAATCCACTGATTGGCGTTTGTTGACTACTTTGACTTGTCACTTGATTCGAAGAACTGGAGCCATGAATAAGGAAACTGTGAATATGAGAATCAGTAACAGAAGAGATCTGAGGTGTATTGATATCTGCATTAGGACGACCATAAAATACAGCAGACAATTCTGCGTACCCCATGTTTGTCTGCAGGTTTATTTTTCGACCGTTATGCTTGCTTAAATAGAAGCTGAATAATAAAATTGCAAACAAAAATATAGTTACAACGACTTAAAATCTGGGAGCTTGGTATAATTTAATTAAACTGAGAGCGATCATTGATTGTCCTAGTTTATCAAAACTGAAAATTCTATCGTGATAACTACAAAGAGAGAGAATAATACGATTTATGGAATATACATTTCCATATCTAGTTGGTGATTAACACGACCTCAAAACCAGTAAAACCAAGAAAATTAAACAGGTTTTAAATTTAGTCAAGGATGTACTTCTCTTCGTGTTTCGAAACGAGTATACTTAACCAAGACCAGACTGAAATCATATTCCTTAAACTATAAGTGGGATTTACAAAGGTTAAGTAGAAATATTTATTAGCGAATTTCTTCACTGGGATACTGTCAAGTCAGAGCTTGTGGAATTCCGTACGTCAGGTGGTGTTTACCAATGGTATCATCCACTTTATTTAATTATATCACAGTTGTTTGCAAAAGAGACTCTATTATTCAACTATTCAGAAACTTATGTCCCATGCGGGGACTTTTTTATTGACTTATATTTTGAAGATGTTCACAAAACACGGTTTTTTGAATATTTTGAGAGACGACAGAATGTAGTCTGAAGTCGGAGAGCTAATCATGTCAAAAACCGGTAGTAATTGAGTACATCATTTTGTTCTTTACCTCCCCATAGATCTTGAAACTCACTGTCATTTCATATTTTTCTTTCTTTGTTACGCTGAAGAGTGATATGGTAACGTAAACTGCTAAAAATTCGTGGCAGCTTCAACACTCCACAATTTGTATGGTTGTACAGTTCGAAATTAGACTTGAACTAATATTTCTAGTGGTAAATGGAAAGAAATACTGACAATTATGCGATTTTTTAATAGTAATTGTTTAAAAATCTGCAAAAGAAACAGTGCACAACAAACCAAAAAAGTTGCACGAAACATGTATAAAAGTTATTAGTTGGTGCATCTGTAATCTGATGAGCGACTAATGCGAAGACTTTTCCGATTTATTATTTGATGCTTTATTAAGCACAAAATTTTTAATCACCAAAACAAATACAAATTATTAAATGCAAACTAAAGTACCAATATTACTTAAGCTACTTAAGAGACCATTTCACTGATAAAATGAAACTCAATGTTATAAACATTCAGTATATCAATTGTGATTCATTTTTGGGAAGATGGTTTATGTTTAAAAGATAGTTGCACATTCGGAACTAAATACGATCATAATAACAATAGTCGATGTCTATTATGAAAAACATATGTGCACAAAATAACTTACTTTTTATAAACTTTAAACGCCGTGTCAGCTTCTTCTGGTAATGCTTCATTAGAATTAGTTGCTTGAGTTGGCCAAAGACCAGTAGTTAGTACACGAACGCACAGATCTAGGTTAAGATTACGATTACCACTAGATAATACTGCATTGAATTCATCCATGAGGGTTTTAGACACTGCCATATCTTTGAACATTCCTTCTAGTTTACTTGTGTATACAGCGCCACATTCGGCCATAAGCTTGGATATCATAATCTTTTCTTGATCATCTGACTGACTTTTACTTAATAACAGTCTTTTTGCCAGATGCTTTTTGTAATAACCTTCAAACAGATCCTTTTCTTGTAGATATCGGAATAATACAATACACTTATCGAAAATGGCGTCTACATCTTGATCTGCCATACCTTTAGTGCCACGTTTTAGTTTCTCATCGATAAATAATGACAGAAATTCTGGAGAACGAGGATTTAAATTGACAAAGTACTCAAAGTCAGAATTAATTTGATTACGAAATATTGTTTGATTATTAAGCGCTCTTGTTAGTAATTCATTAGCGCGATCGCGTAATTGAAGCAAATCTTGAATGTGCTGTTGGGGTGTTGATGACCCAGTATCACGTACAGTATTTCGCCCTTGCTCTCTCAAGTATAGGCTAATGTAGTTACTCATTATTTTTGGTCCTTCTTCAACCCTACTTAAAACGCCATACATAGCAGCGATATCACTGAAGTGATCATGAGTTAACATGTAAGTTAATCCTGAATCCTCCATACCGACAATAGTTTCCATATGTCGACTTATAAGCTCCTCTTCTAATACGACAACGATTTTGGGTTCCGTGGATGGATCGAGATGATGATGTGCTCTTCGAACTTCCTCCTCAATTCTTTGCTCGACTTTTTTAATATATAAGGAAGCAGAAGTATTCTCAGCAAGAAAATTTTCACTTTCTGTGCGGTAAAATTCTCTTGACTGTTCCAAAAATGGCTGTTCAAAATCTTCAAGGTAAACGCGTAATGATCCGGCCCCTAACTGCACAAACATCTGACAGGCATCGCGAATCTGAGAACGCGATATTACTTCACCCCGACGTTCCCTGCGCACCATATCCAACAGAGTTTTCTGCAAGTGCTCTCTAATAATTGGATAACGTACGACAAGATCGCAGAAAACAGTCATCCCCATTTTATAAACTCCATCCAGGTTATGTGGACCGACGTAGACACGATCCATGTACATAAGAATATCACGGATCATTCCCATAGCAGTTTGGTGATCTTTCCAACATGAGTTAAGATAAGTTAAAAACTTATTATTTAAATTTTCAACAATACTATCGCGGATCTTGATCATATGTTCACGTACAACAGCCTCTGTTCCCGCATATAGACGCTCACCGTGTTTTTGTAATATCAAAGTGTACGCATTGCGGTAGAGTTCTTCAAAGCTCAAACAACTGTTATTTTTCTTTTGAATCTCGATTATCGCACTTTTAATCTGATCCCATAACTGATTGGCATATCTCTCATCTATTGAAGGAGGAAAAGCTTTGATTCGTACTTTGGCATTTGTCACTTCAGTTCGACGAGCGCTGCTGCCTGTAGACATATCAGGTTTCTAAAACGAAAATTACATTGAAGATTAACGGCCTAAATTTAGTCATGACGTATATGGGATACAATAATGAGTTCGTATTTATGGACTCAGTAAGTAATCGGAATATCCTCAAACTCATTACTGATAGTCGTTAACTAACCTGAGATTATCAAGGTTTGTACATGGAGAGATTATATCACAAATGAGGTCATTTAATACCTCTAATTCTAGTGAGATGTGTGCAGTGGAAAATGAAAGAAATTGTATCACAATGGATAATTATCCACTTTTTAATTGTTTTGAGGCGACGTAAATAAAAGGTTACTTCTTGAACATTAAATCTGACAATCAACAATCGATCTACATGACTGAATACCGACCTTTTACTCAATTTTATTTTGATATAGAACCTCAGCAAAAAAAAACCACGATATGAAAGATCTCAAGTCTCGCTCTCGTATTTTTGGGATAGATTTTAGGTGCAAAGGAAAGGTTTTTTCGTCAATTTCTGGACATGTTACACAAGACCAAGTTTTAAGTGAACTCCAGATACTTGGATATAAGGTACACTTTAAGTGAGGAATAATGATACCAATCAGTTACCCAAACTGAAAAAGGTGAGGGAATGTTTGAACCTGGGATTTAGTGGCCATAAGTTGGACCCCTTAAACAACAGGCAGCCACTCCACTAATTCTACAGCTGGAGCTTAGGAAAATATGTAACTCAAGTCTTAAATAGCAGTATTTGGTATTGGGACATAAAAACTGGGACTACTGTAACTATGGTTAATTACGGATTCGAACGCATTTACATGGAATGGTCCATTTAAATCATGTTCGACTTTTAGTCACTACATCACAAGTTTGAGTACCACTCAGCTTCAGTTTCGTTAGCCTGATAGTATCACTAATCCTCGCACAAGGTGGCTCATAGCTGAGTAAATAAATCTGTACTTCGTAAATGAGTTACATCAATGTACCTCAAAAAAATTGTAGCAGCTTAGGTGGTATCTTTGATCGAAACAGAACTAGGGCAATTGAACATCTATCAAGAGTACATTAGGAACAAATAGTATCTGGTGCCTTTTGAGAGTAAACTAAATGTACTAAAGTTTTTGAACCACAACGAAGTCTGTATTAAGTCGACATAGATGGATAAAGTTATCACAGAAACGTGTTTTTATGAGTTAGAACAAGATATCACTCAGAAATCAGAATCCGAGCTACAAAGACATGGTGAAGTACTATTCATTCACTGCTCTTGATCATGAGTCAAGGAGTCTAAGGAAAAACCTAACCGGCAGTTAAGTGTGATGACATTCCAATAAGTTGAGTCTAGTTTCCTGTGGATTTTATGGAGAGGGAATCCTTTAGTATATATCAACCGAGTATACAGCAAATATCACGTACTCATAAAATGATAACGCTTTTACCATTCTTTGGGATCTGGATTCTCCAGTTGGTTGTTAATGACTATTTGTTGGAACGAGTGAAATCTTACAAAGTACTGAAAGCGCAACTAGATAGAAAAGGTCAAGATGTTGAATGTCCTTAAACTTGATTTTCTTAGAGTAAACTGTTAATCGAAGGGCGAGTGATGTTTATTGGAAGACTAATGTACAACAAATGTTTGGAAGGTTATTGTGAAATAATGCTTGAGTCTAATTAACAAACAAAACGTTGTGGTTACCAATGTACAATCGATAACAGCGTAGGCGATGAGAGTTGAAATTTCGTTTAGTGAATATTACCGATATTTAAGAACAGCCAATACGCCAAGCAAATATTAGTATTACTGAGTGTCTAGAACGTAAAAATATATTTGTACATTAATGTCTTGAACTTTACATACTAAGTGTTAGCACTAACTATCCAAACGACTCACCGTCTAACAAAAAGTAGTCTTATTACATTTTCCCTTATTTTGTTACAATTATATGGAGTATTGGGTTTATAATCGGAGGAATTGACTTTATAATCCTGATCTAGAAGTTCAAACCCGGCGCTAGCTACTTCATTTTGGGCAGCATAGTTGTCATTAGTCCTCACATAAAAACGAGTGATTAAACTTCGTATGCAAAAGCCTATGCCTGAGTTGTAAAATGTACTTAAGATGTATATATCATATTTAGTGAAACGGCGTTAAGTCGTTACATTTTGGGATGATGATAAAGAACATAGGTACACAACTGACATGAATGGAGACATTTTAATTGACCATTTCGACTGATACATTTCAGGGGTCGGGATAGTCATAATTAGCAAACACAGACATTCAAATACATGCGTAGAGCCTGCTTGTTACTACTTTATATAGTAAAATATTCTTGCACTAGTCATGTTTTTCCCAGTTATAACACAGGCCACTGATACAGAATTATCTACATGTTAACTCTTATTACTCTTTTTAGTTAACTATCGCTGAGAGTGTTAATTTTCAAAAGCCCAAATCACAGAAAGGTGGTGAAGTTTCGACCTTAGTTTCATTGAGAAGGGGTATAAATGTAAGACCGAAATTCAAACTAACTACTCACATCCCTTTTGGGTAAGGATGAGATAAACCTGAAGTGGTATATAGTTAACATAATATTCGCCCGGGAAACCAAGCATGTAAGCGCTGTTTAAAAGTTCTGCTGAGATCAGATAGTGGGAACTAGCTGTTAAATTTTTATTCAAAAGTGAAAATAGGTTCGACAAATATTCCAATATAGGCCTTGCGCAAATAATTGTCTTTTGAAGATCTTTAAAGAATGAAATAAAGCTACATGGAGACTTTTTAATGGACATGACTCAATGATTCAAGAAACAATGTTATGTATGACTTGAAATATGTCTCAAAAACACCATACTGACTGAATTAGTAACACACCAACGTCTCAGATCATAGGCCGCGCCTCAAGTGTGGGTCTAAACAAACAGTCTTTTCGTCGATGAAAACAGTTAAATTTTGTTAGAATGTGTTGATCTTGATTTGAACAAAATAAGATCCCTTATCTGGAGTTCCTTCTTCCTACTCTTAGTGGGTCACTGATGTCTGGCTATGAGTGGTGCTGTGGAGTATATCCTAATGTCGTGGATGAAAGATGTAGCTAGATATCTCACAATACTTCTTAAATGCAGAAAGAATGCTTAAACGTATAAAGAACACGCTCTGTGCTATTTTTAATTACCCACTTATTCACCATAAACGGCTGTAGCGGTAAATAAATCTCTGGGTGAAGCACAGGGCCACTTAAATAGGCTTCGGATCTGTCATACCAATGCCCGGAGCTTGCTCAATAAGCTATCGGAACTAGGTGTACAGATTGACTATGCTAAGCCAGATATAATCGCAGTCACAGAAACTTGGCTGACGTAGTCTATAGATAGTAGGGAACTTGACCTCGAGGGTTTTACATTAGTAAGGGCCGACAGAATACAAAAGCGTAAATGAGGGGGAGTAGCTCTGTTCATTAGGAATGCTTTCCCATTCACCATTATCGACAGTGTATCCCATGAGAGTGGGACGTGTGAACTAATTAGCTATGAAGATGACGTTGCGAACCTGGATTACATGCCACCTCTAGGTAAAAGTAATCATACATTTTTAACCTTTGAATTCCATATAACTGTCGATCACGAGCACGCGTCAGCTCAATCTAGATCTAACGTCTGGACTGCGAACATACCAAACATCATGCACTCAGCAACATCAGTAGATTGGACATTAGACCCAGAGTCTTCAATTGAAACAGCTTGGGGCGTATTTCGAAATTTATAGTTAAAAGTTACCGCCCCCAACATCCCTTGGACTACACCTAGGGGGCCGAGAACTCACCATGGTTCAGTAGGGAGATTCGCATCCTTCTTCGAAAAGAAGGAAAATGCGGGATAGATTTAGGTTACTGGGTACTGATGAGGCAAAATATCGGTATCAAAAAGCTCCGAATACTTGTGCCTCGACCCTCCGTAAGTCCAGAAAGCTATACGAACAGAAAATTGTTAAGGAATCCATAGAATGCCCTAAACGCTTGTATTCGTATATAAACCAAAGGACACAAAGAAGAAATATTCTTTCACTATAGGGAGACAGTACTGCCTCATCACTAATGGAGGACGACTTTGGAAAAGCTCAAGTATTCTCAAAATATTTTAGCAATGTTCATACCATAAAAACACCCTTCCCACCAGTCCATGAAAACCCCTCCACACAAGCACTGGGCAGTGTGACCATTAAAGAACTCGATGTTTTTGGTCTGCTAATTAAGCTTGACATAGGCAAATCCTCTGAACCCGATGAACTGCATCCTAGGTTACTAAAGGAATTAGCTAACTTTGTTGCGAACCCTTTAAGTATATGTTTTCATCTATCCGTGACCCAGGGTCGTCTACCAAGACTGGAAGAACGCCATAGTAAGTCCTATCTTCAAAACAGGTACAAAACATAAACCTGAGAATTACCGACCCATTAGCCTAACTAGTGTGGTTGTTAAAATATTAGAAAAGATTATTCGGAAGGAGCCGTTTAAGTACTTCGGTAGAAACCGGATCCTTTCGGAGAAGCAGCATGATTTTAGGACAGGTTATTCTTGTCTTACTAACTTATTAGTCGCTCGTGAAAGCTGGTGCGCTCCTAAGGACCAAAAGTTACCTGTAAACGTAGCCAACATAGACTTCAGCAAAGCTTTCGACAAAGTTCGGCACAACCGGTTGTTATATAAGCTAAGGAATGTCGGGATTGGAAGCAATCTATTGATGTGGATAAAAGACTTCTTAGTTGGGCGCCAACAAAGAGTACGGGTCAGCTCCAAATTGTCTAGCTGGGAAACTGTGTTTAGTGGAGTCCCCCAGGGTACAGTTTTGGGGCCAGTGTTATTTCTCTCGTACGTAAATGAGCTCTTTTGTCAACCATCGTCATCAGTCTTGCTATATGCTGACGATGTCAAGATATGGAGAGCGATACAAAGTAAGGATGATAGCTTAGAACTCCAAATGACCTGGAGATATTATCTGAATGGTCCCAAACCTGGCAGTTGCCGATAAATACTTCCAAGTGCATTGTGATGCATATTGGCCACCAGGGTACAGATACATACATGATGAATAACACTGAGCTACCTATTGTGCAGACATACAATGACTTAGGAGTCATCATTAGCCAATACTTGAAGACTACTTCACAATGCCGTGCAGTAGCCGCCAAAGGTTTAGAACTTTATGGTCCATACGTAGGGCTTTTAGTCATCTTGACGCTAAAGCGTTTCCGACTTTGTATACAGTGTTCCTGCATCCTAAACTTGAGTACTGCATACAAGCAGCTAGCCCCTGCCTAAAAAAAGACAATGAGCTCTTGGAAAGGGTTCAGAGAACAGCAACTAAGCTGATTAACGGAATAGAGAAGCTCCCGTATGGTACTAGACTGACCATGCTAAACCTATTCCTGCTGTCATATCGGGGAATCAGAGGCATTTTGATTACAGTGTTGTTCTAGTTTTCAAATTGCTTAGTGATAAATTTGCACCTGATATACCCTCATTTTTCTTGTCTTCCAAAACAGAAAATTAACGAGGACATTCCACAAAAGTTCACAAGCCCAGGACGAATTATTTGTCAGTTGATTACCGACTTTCCTATCGAATCATTAACGATTGGAATTCATTACCTCAGTACGTGGTTGACGCTCCATCCGTCGACTCTTTCAGAAGAAAGTTGGATCAGCTAAAAGACCATCAGTGTCAGGACTAATACAGGCCATCAAGCCTCCTGTCCTTTCCAAACTGGAACTGAAAGTGAAACTAAAAAATATGTAGTTCTGTAAGTCTTCAGCATTGACTCTGAACTCAGTAGTTTTACTGAACAAACCCCAGATGGAGGCGTTCGATCACGCATCCTCACCAAATCAATAGTAAGTAGAGCGTGCTGAGCATCTATCACAACAATTAGTCAATTCCGATCAAATGCTTCTCAACTGGTCCATAACCTTCTAAATATGTCTTCGGACTCCTTCATTTGTAACTTCTGATTTGATTGGTTAAGTATCTTCTAATTATAAAGGTGTTGCGAACAAACACCTGTGTCATCATTAGAGCCTTACTTTAGGTACATTTTAACGTTATTATCTAAAAGAGTGATCTGCCAACACTCAAGGCAGACTCAACAGACAATTTATTCACATTATGGAATCTTCGTGTCAGGCTTTTTCTTCAGTGAATTCATTCGTACCATTTGCAAGACGGCTTCAGGAAAGTGGTCAAAGTTGTAAAAGTAAAATTTAGAGGAATATGACCATCTCAACATCCCTTATTAAAAGGCTTTGGTGCTTTCCTTCTTGATACTCTTGTTCGCAATGGATGTAGATGCAATGAGCGACGAGATAATTATCGGTATAAGATTGTGGAGATTCCTGAGTTTTAGTTGGGATCATGAATCGACCAATATCTGACCATCATTAAAGATCTGGGAGTACTGGATGACCGTTTTGTCCCAATATGGAACTTCCTAGCGGTATGTATCCACGGTCCTACACGCAGGATTTGAACTCGAGACTTTCGGTCTCGTGCGCGAATGCTTGACCTCCAAACCACTGACCCAGCATCGAGCTGTGTTAATGTCTCACTACGACCAGTTCACGGTACTTCACGACCATCTTCCGTCGCTCTGATCTCTCCTGCAGAATCATCGATGTTCACTGTTATGGAGTCTCATGCTAGGAAAGACCAGCCGTCCAGTACTTCCAAATCTACAATGGTGGTCTAGCATAAATTTGTCAATGATCTCAGTTAAAACAATGAGACAAATTTTGATCATAGATCAGAGGGGGTCTTGTGGAGAATTTAGTATTTTCACTGTCGAAATCATGAGTCAATTGAAGCCAGACCATCATCGAAAATCTGGAAGCATTGGACGGCCGTTTCGTCCTACTATGAGACTCCCCAGAAGTGCGCATCCAGGGCTCTGGTTCTGGACTGGTAGGTCCTGGGTTCGAATCTCGTGGGGGCGAGATCGTGGATGCGCACTGTTGAGGAGTCCCATAGTAGGACGAAACGGCCGCCAAGTGCTTCCAGGTTTTCGATGGTGGTCTAGCTTCAATTGACTCATGATTTCAACAGTGAAAATTTTGATTACTCCCAAAGGCATTATTATTCTGAACCTACTTAGTCAAACGTCCCTTCTACGGACGACATGGAAAAACATAATGACAGTATGGAACTTTCAAGAATATTACTCGGAATATTTGATCAAGTGTATTGAAAACAGGCAGTATTAGTTCTTGCACTTATGTGATTCTCATTACCCCCAAAAATAACAGGATAATCAGAATATGATAATTCAGGCTGTGAATAATGTGATAACATTAGAACTGTTGACTGTTTGGAATATAAACCTTCAGCACACATGCATCTATTTTGGTCCAACATGATCACGTCAAATATCGTGTCCGGCGATTAAGCATATTGTCATTGGTAGGGACTGTTGGAATGCATATGAAATACAAGTACTAACTATATTCATTAAATTCGTCAATCCCGGACTTTGTCAGTATGGGGTTATGGAGGTTGTCATGGTATTTAGTGCTGAAATGCTAAATTCAACTAAGTCGATCCTCATTCTGGAATATGATATCTAACTGAGCATATGACCTTCAAGTGCATTGATTCAGTTCTATTGATTAACTTGTGTTCAATTATCTGATTACTTCGAGTTCCTTATATATGAATTCTTGTTATATATGCCTTTGTTTGGTTTTACTTCTATCTGTTAATCGTATTCCGTCGTCACACTAATCCACAAATGCTTGGGATATCCCGAATGATTGACTCTCTAGAAAGCTAAGATTTATTTCAGCACATTTCAGACCAGAACAATCTAATGCAGTCTTGGGTTCATTTTACTATAATGTGATTGCTGGACATTTTTTCGCCAC